ACAACCATAAAAGTCTTAGGAAAAAGAACACAGCTGTAAATGTCTTTAGATTCTTAGATATGACAACAAAAGTATGAGCAAAAAGAAAAAAATAAAGTGAACTTCCTTGACATTAAAAACTGTGGGTCAAAGGGTATCAAGAAAGTGAAAAGAATGGGAGAGAACATTTTCAAATCATATATCTGATGACAGTCTAATATTCAGACTACATAAAGAACTCTTACAAGTTGACACCAAAAAGATGAACAACCCAATGAAAAAATGGACAAATTACTTGGAAACACTTTTCTCCAAGGAAGATATACAAGTGGCCGGTAAACACGTGAAAAGATGGTCAACATTATTAGTCATTAGGGAAATGCAAATAAAAAACACAATGAGATACCACTTTCCACCCACTAGGATGGCCATATATTTTTTTAAAGGATAATAACAAGTATTGGCAATGTTGTTGAGATATGGAACCCTCATACACTGACAGTGGGATCTAAAAAGGGTCAGCCACTGTGGAAAGCAGTTTGATGGTTCCTCAAAAAGTTGAACATAGAATTACTATATGACCCAGCAATTCTCTCCTAGGTATATATATGCCCAAAAGAATGGAAAACAGGTAGGTATTCAAACGAATACATGTACATGCAAGTTCATAGCAGGATTACTCACAAATAGCCAAAAGGCACAAACTAAAGGTCCATCAGTGGATAAACAAAGTGCACTATATCTATACAATGGAATATTATTCAGTCATTAAAACGGATGAAGTACTGGCACATGCTACAACATAAATGAACCTTAAACACATTATGCTAAGTGAAAGAAGCCAGATACAAAAGGTCATATTATATGATTCAATTTACATGAAATATCTAGAATAGGTAAATCTGTAGAAATAGAAAGCAAATTGCCAGACATTGGAGGGAGGAGGGAATAGGAGTAACTGCTTAGTGGGTACAGGGTTTTCCTTTGCGGTGATGAAAATTTTTTTGAAACTAGATAAAGGTGATGGTTGTACAACATTGTTAATGTATTAATTACCACTAAATGGTTCACTTTGAAATGGTTAATTTTACATTATGTGAATTTTACCTCGATAAAAAATTTCTTTAAAAAATGCAATAAAGTCACTGATATCTAATCATTAAAAAAAATTACAGGACTTATCTATGATTGAATTACTTATCACTGCACTATAAGTGGTACACAGATATGTAAAATATAGTCCCAACCGCTGAGGAACTTCAGGTCTAGTTACAGAGCTCAGGTAAATAAAGCGACTACTCTATCTCAGTGTCCAATGAGAGTTCAAAGATGCACATCTAGTTATGCAGAAAAGGAAAAATTTCTCAGAGAAGATGACATTGGAAATGAGCTTTAAAGGTTGAATGAAATTTTTACTGTTAGAGTTGGCAGTGAAGAAATGCAATAACATGAAGAAAGGTGTTCACTTATCACGGGGTCACATGATAAGTTTAAACACATTAGCTCATCCAACCTGGTTGATGTAAAAGCTACATAATTCAGGAAAAGGTATTAAAGACCAGGTGTCAAAGGGTTCTACTCTTTTTCGTCCTCAGTGCCTGATGCATTGTTTGACACATATTTGGTAATCGGTGTATGTCGTAAAAAAGATAAAATAAAATTATGCATTAAATAAACTTCACCAAAAGCTCAAGCACCAGAAATACTATAAAACAGTAGCAATAGCTTGCAGCATTTATTACA